TTATTTATTTATCTTTTTGTGATTGAATAATAAACAAATATTCTTGTTTAATTGGTAAACAAAATTAATGTTGTTAATATCAGAAAAATCTAATAATGATTAATAAATAAAATAGATCAATATGGTATACCAGAGTGTTAATATTTTGATAAACTACCATAAATATAATCGTTAACACGTTTGCGGACAATAAAAATTTCAGCGAAGAAAAATAAAGCGAGAATCATTTTATTTTTTTAACAATAGAGTTGTGATACCCAAAATTTGATTAAACAAATTTTAAATGGGCAGTAATAATATCATATATTAACACTTTAACGACCGCTCACACAACATGTGTGTGATAGCCGGAACAACCGTTACCGACCGCTCACACAACACCAATCCAGTCGAAAGATTAACTGGAGGAATAAAACATCAATTAATTAAAATATCGGAAATAAAAAAGAGTGTCCGAAGGGATTGCCATGTTTGCTATGCAAATTAAATTAGGAAACCTACTTATTTTATGTGTAAGACATGTAAAATACCATTACATATAGGTGATTGCTTTAATAATTATCATAAAAAGGAAAAATATTATATTTGTTTAGAATTTATATTAAAAAATATTAAATTTTTGTTGTTTTTTGTTTTATGTTAATTTTTTTCGTGAATTTAATAAAGTTCTTTAAAATGAATTCTTCAAAAATACTGCCGGCCCCTGGCGACGTTTGACTACGTAGACGTGCGGTCATTAAAGTGTTAAAGAACCTTTACAGGTATAATAATTACAAAAACTTCAAGGTTATATCAAATAAAATTGAAAATAATTTGCTTGAAAATTTGAATGCTGTAGCATTCATGTCATAAACGTCCCTGTAACGTTGTAATATAAAAACCCATTTCTATTCTATATATATTTCATTTTTCGATTCTGTTTTTCATGTTCAGAACGAAAAGCTGGAGGTTAAACAGAAATGGGCCTCACGGCTTTTGGGAAAGTTACGAAAGGATATAACGCAAGAGTACAGGGAAGACTTCGTGTTGAGCATAACGGGGAAGAGGCCAGCCATGTGTGTCCTCAGCAATCCTGATCAAAAAGGCAAAATGAGGAGGATAGATTGTTTGAGGCAAGCCGATAAGGTAAAAAATAACAAACGAACAATCAAAAGCAAAAACATTAATTATATATTTAGTAAAAACTTGTATTTTTCAATTTTATTTGTGTCTGCGTGTGCTGTGTGCACGGGGGGGCCTGAAATAATTATTTAGAAACAAAAAAAACAAAGTATAATATGAAATTGAAAGAAAATGGAATCTCCGATCGACATATTCCCCCTTCCCCTGTTGTTCGTTGATGTCACAGGTATGGCGATTGGACCTGGTTATGGTGATTCTCTTCAAAGCAATTCCGTTGGAGTCGACGGACGGGGAACGGCTTGAGAAGACCGCGGAATGCGCTCAACCGGGCCTCTGCGTCAACCCCTATCACATCAACGTCTCCGTCCGGGAACTCGATCTCTACCTCGCCAATTTTATCACCAGTCACGGTAAGAATTATTATTATTATTATTATTATATTTCTTTTTTTTTTATTATTCGATTATAAACGAGTTATTGATCCTTCTTTTCTTACAATAATTAATAATATATGAGCCGCTTATTTTGAAAGTGGCCTAACTCCATTTACCTTCAAATCGAGATATTTAAAGTTTTGCGTTTCAATGAATTTAAAAATATACGTATAGGATACTAATGATTTATACTGCTTAAGCGTATCTAAGGATGTTAAATTTAAATTTCCTGTTAAAGTAGTGGCAATTATTAAGTAAATAACGTGCGTTTTCTTATCAAGAATGGAGTTGGGCCACTTTCAAAATTAACAGCCAGATTCATTATAAAATTTGGAGGTGCCCAAGTCCATTCAACATAATTTAAGATGTTTCAAATTGAAAAAAAAACAATACTGAATTTGTTTTATATATGTTGAAAACACTTCGGAAACATAATTTATGCGATTCAAAACATTTTTTAATTTATTACAGAACATAGAAAATTACAAACATAAATTTATTACAAAACAATTTACTATTCGTCTACATTTTATGTGTGTGTAAGGGATTTGAAGAAATCATGATGTTCTGGTGATATGTATCGTAATAGGTCAATTATGTCCTTCAATTTTGCTGTTGTAATTTATCTGATATTTTTATACAGTGACGTCAATACAATATTTTCGAACTTTCTTGGTCTACCCCGACGTGGTAATAAATTCAGGACTTGAAAATTTTCGTTCTCATTCATTGATGTCTTATAGAAAATTTTATACGGTTCATTTTTGACAAAACGCATCCAACATATTTTAAACCAGTTTATTGGTTCTCCGTTAGAATTGTTTACCCTTTGAAAAATTGCGTCTTCTAATAATTTTGTTGATTCAAAATCTTCTTGTTTCATTTCATATACAATAAAGTTATTACCTTTCCGACACTTTTCGATAATATTGTAATAATCTCGGGGGACAAACAGTAAATTATCATTAACGCTTTTGTTATATTGCGTTTATAATATGCTACTGAAGTAGCAGTAATTTAAGTGTAAATGGACTTAGACGACTTTCAAAATAAACGGCTCAGTTATTCAACTAACTCTGAAAACTTATGTGTCCAGAATTATCGTATTTACTCGGAATATAAGTAATCTTAAATGCTGTATTGATAGATAATTTGAAGTTGTAGATGTAACCATGCGTAATCGAAAATAATTGACAAATGGAGTTAGGCCACTTTCAAAATAAACGGCTCATATATTATAACGATAATTTTTTCAAAATTCATATAACACAAAATATCACATCGAACGAACAAAGGACACGCGAAAATAATTTTAATATAATAACAAATAATTCCATTGAGCGTGTGTGTTTCTTTTACACGCGATTTACGTAAATTAGAAAGGAAAGTTATATCACTAAACTGTGTTGGATGTTCGATTTCGGTTTTCCATGCCAAAGTAGCGCTTATTCTTCTCCTCTTTGGTTACGTTCATTCACTCTTCCATCCATCCCTCCTTTCAAAGTGTCGTCGGTTTTACTCGCTACGCTACTCCACTCGGCTTCGATTCAAAGTTTCTTGGAACGTCTTGCCAATTTCACAGGTCCCCCATATGATGACATGGCACACACAGTGGTGGCTGAGGCCACATGGCGTGCGCGTTCTCGCTCAGCTTGACAATCAGAGAAAGAGAGAAAAAGAGAAAAAGAGAAAGAGAGAGAGAGAGAGAGAGCTAGCACACACGTGCACAACGATACGTATATACATAGGCACACACTCACAAACTCGTGCGCAAGCGCATTTATTCACGCAACCGAGCACGCATGAACAAACGCACGTGCCGATCATCACTATCCTTCCTTCCTTCCTTCCTTCATTCTTCACTTTTGTTTACGACGGAGAAACCACGCGTCGAATTTGCTATCCAAATTTGTCCTTAACGGTTCTCAAATCATTCATGAACTTTCATTTTGAATACGATCATAATTTGACTACGTTCGATCAAATATCCTCAACTACATTTGCATTTTTTTACGATTAATTCTAATCGATTATTTATATTACAATCATTAACAACATCTTAGAAAATAATTATCAACGATGTGTTAATAATTTCATTGACAATTTATACTTCTTTTGGCGCGTTTATGGGAAAATATAATGAGAGTGCGCGCACCCCGATGCAAAATTAAACAGAATGAAGTTAGTTTCGGTATTAACGATGCGCGCGCACACCGATATGAAATTAACAGCATGAAGTTAGCCGATATAACTACCTTATATTTAATGTAGACTGATATCTATATTCTGATATTTCTATATACACAATACATGTTTTTATATCGATACAAATAAAAAATTATTGATGTGTTTTGAGGTTATTTAATTATTACATATACAATGGGGTGATTGATAATTAAATAACTATGAATATCTTCAAAAACATTGTTTTTTTTTTTAATCTTGTATACCTTCGATCAAATTCACATATTGTTTTAATAAAATGAAAATATGAATAGGATTGATTGTCAGTGTAATCGAAAAGTTCGAATGCAAATAAAGTGAGATAAAGAGAAAGAGAAAGAAGAGAAAGATAGAAAGATTTTATAGAGTATATGAGAAGTTGTAAGAGATAGAAAGATTGTTCAAACGGGTGCCAGAAGATCAGGAGACAGGGTCGAGCAACGATCCTAAACTTTCCCTCTCAACAACGTTCCCTCGCATTCATTGAACTCATCGGCGCTCTTGGAAAGGCACAATTTTCTTCTTACGACTCCTGGCAGAGTTGCTGCTACTCGAATTCTGACAAGCAAAGGAACGTGTTGTTGTTGTTACTATGCGATAGTAGAGTAGAGTATAGTATAGCCAAAGAAGAATCATACCAAGTAACCAAATCAAATAACCAATCTACCTATCTACCTATCTACCTGTGAACCAAACAACCAACCAGCCAACCAGTCAAAAAGCCAGCCAACCAGCTAGTCAGCCAGCTTGTAGGTAGCCACTGACCGATAGAAAGATAGTTCACTTACATACTTCCTACTATCATCTTCCTACGGCTTGGCAACCACAATTCTAATGTTTACAAATCGTCCCCAAGAAAAATATTGGCGAGGCCTATCGACAACTTCGGATGAAATATTAAACCCCGAGAGAAAATCTAATTCTTATTACCTTGGCAACGAGATCTTATTAAATCTGTATGATACTCTTCTTGGTTCTTGTATTCTTAAATCTTTCACTTTAATCTTTTTATTCTTTTCTATTTTATTTTCTTTTCTTTCAGGAGCAATAAGGATTTATTTTACAGTGAAATATTATATACACATTAATGTAATAGAATCAAAGGTATCATTTCATTTTCTGATGCAACACGCGCCGCCTAATTATAATCAGAACCGTATGATAATAGTTAATAGGGACTTTCTATAATAATAGAGTCTATTAGGTCAGTTCAGACTAAACGAATATGAATGTCTACTTTTAGATTAGTTCGTCAGCCATTTCTCTTTCTCTCTCTCTTCCCCTTTTTCCTCTCATTTTATTTCCTTCCCTTTGCATCTGTCTTCATCTCTGAACGATTACGTAGAAATGATCAGACGGAAGGGTCTGAAGTAGTAAAGTTTTAGACTAGCCGGACTCCGTTTTCTTGGCACCAGTTAAGTTTATATTATTGTACCACCGTGTATATTTACAGAGGGTCAGGAATTTTTATGATGTTGATCATACACCAGACTCTATCTTTCTCTCTCTCTCTCTCTCTCTTTCATACTCTCTTTCTTACTCGTCCCCCTGCCCCCTTCACGCCGTCCTCCACCCCCCTTTTTCTATCTTTCTCTATGACTGTGGCTCGTTCATCACCTAGGACGGTTGTTGTTCAACGGAAACCAAAGAGAAATTTCGCAATTCTAAAATCGTTTGATATCATATGTACAGGTACTTTGAAAAATTTGATTCTCCATTTGAGAATAGTACAATGTTATTCATTTATTTTGTAATATTTTTGTGTTTGGTCATATTTTATATTTCAATAATTATGCAAAATTGTTTGTATGCACTTAACACGATTAGAATGACAGTATAGTATACATTTTTATTTTAACATTTGTTAATCGAACATACGTTATTACTGCGAATGATTAAAATCCGAGAAAAACTTATTATGCAAATTAATTTAGTATAGTATAAAATGAATACAATATAAAATAGTAAATTAAATTCTAAATCTTTCGAAATACAAAATTCATACAAATCCCATTGTAATAGGGGGACAAAAAATAATCAGAAGAGAAATTAGATGAATTTTGTCGTTTAGCAAATATGATCAAAGTTGTAAATGAAATAGTTGGCGAATGGGAAAAAAAGATGGTTGTACAAGTTGTATCGTTTAACTAGGTAGCTATCTAAGAAATAGCTAAAAGTTATTAAAGTAATCGAGGTGCTATTCCCCATTTTGTCTTTCGAAAATGGCCAAGTGAAACAGCTCGTCGACGAAGGAAGATTGCAATGATGGTGATGTTGGTGTGTTGGTTGTGGTAGTAGTAGTAATGCTATCGTGAAAATGTGATGTCCGAGAAACGTGTGTTCAGAGCACCTGTTCTCTCTCACACTTTCATAAGAAACGATGATAGTTACGCAACCGGTTAGGCGATATTTAGCTCTTAGGGCAAATACGCAGCAACCTCTCTCTAACTCTCTATCTTTTTTTAAACTCCAAACATACCACCATATTTTGTAACAAGAAATTCGAGTAGATTTTTGCAATTATTTGAAAAACATTCAAATCATTTCGAACGCCACAGTGTGATCATTTTTGTCTATCATTAATTATGATAGTGAACAGTAAAGAAAAAAAACATTTGTAAAAAAAAAAAACAAATAGATTTTACGATTGAAAATAATTTGTAGAATTTTGTTCTTACGTACGATTGATGAATTATGTGACAAACGTTTGTATCATATTTGACAAAGTATAACTATTATAATAGTAGAACTTT